AACAAAAAAAGACCGACTATTTTGAAAAAAAAAAAAAATATTTTTTAACTTTTTGCTATCAAACATATCCAGTAAAAAAATTTTAAAAATCACATTTCTTCATAAATTTGGGACAAAATGTATTCTGATACAAGTCTTTCCTAAACAAAATCCCAATACGAGTAAAATTAATTAGTTTACGTGAAAGTTATAGCATCTATAAATGGCAGTATATATACTGGTATTTTTTTTTTTTTTTTACAAGTAATCAGCGACTTATTGCGGGACTGCAGGACTGCGATGGGCATTCTGACACTGGGGGGAACTGACTGCCACTGACATCCCTAGTGACACTAATACAGTGATATGTGCTAATAAAAAGCACTGACACTGTACTAATGACACTGGGCAGGAAGGGGTTAACATCTGGGGCGATCAAAGGGTTAACTGTGTGCTGTGTTGTGTGTTTACATAGTGTGTGTTTTACTATGTAGACAAGCTGCTTTGTATTGCGCAATACAAAGCATCCTGTTCGTGCTGACAGGGGAGATATCTGTGTTGTTTACAAACAGACCTCTCCCCTGTCAGCTCCTCCGATGGTCACCGAGTCCCAGCCCAGAATCGGCGGATGGGACTCAGTGATTGACATGCTAAAGAGCTAATAGCGGCGTGGGTAAATGCAAAATCACATATATATATATAGCGCTTTGGCACCTTTTTAAATCATAATGATAACAGAAATCACCCAAATGGCCCTGATCAAAAGTTTACATACCCTGAAATGTTTGACCTTGGTACAGACACACAAGGTGACACACACAGGTTAAATTGTCAATTAAAGGTAAATTTCCCACATCTGTGGCTTTTAAAATTGCAATTAGTGTCTGTGTATAAATAGTCAATTATATTGTTAGTCCTTACATGGATGCACTGAGCAGGTTAGGTGGATGCACTGAGCCATGGGGATCAGAAAAGAACTGCCAAAAAACATGTGTAACAAGGTAATGGAACTTTATAAAGATGGAAAAGGATATCAAAAATGTCCAAAGCCTTGAATATGCCAGTCAGTACTGTTCAGTCATTTATTAAGAAGTGGAAAATTTGAGGATCTCTTGATTCCAAACCAAGTACAGGTAGAGCAAGAAAGATTGCAGCCACAACTGCCAGAAGAATTGTTTGGGATACAAAGAAAAACCTACATGTAACCTTAGGAGAAATAGAGGCTGTTCTAGAAAACAGAGGTTTGATTGTTTTGAAGGAGTACAATACAATGATACTTGAATAAAAATGAGCTGCATGGTCAAGTTACCAGAAAAGAAGCCTTTATTGTGCCAATGCCACAAAAAGCCCGGTTACAATATGTCAGACAACACTTTGACACACCTCATGGGTCTGCCATAGAACCCTTGACAAAACATTATTTATAGCAGGAATAAAAATGGCAAGCCAAACTGTTTTTCTTAGTTTTTGAGAGAGTGGGTGTAGGTCAGAACCCGTTCAAGGTTTTTACTGTTATTGGTGGCTTTGTTAGAGAGATTTCCCCTGACTTCCTGTCCTGCTGACATTGTTTTATCAAACAAGCCTGGAGGGGAACTCATTAACAGCAACACAGACAGAAAAAAAATGCTTTTCTTGAGCAGAGAAAGGAAGGGCTAGAACACCTGTCAGACTTATCTTTCTGACTTCTGCAGAATTTTCTTTCTGTCTGCAGAATTTCTCTCACTTCCTGTTTGGTATAACCTTTGTTAGGGGGGACAATTGTGAGAATAAATCTCTCCAACAGAGCCCTGGAGAGTAGTAAAAACCTGGCAGGAATTGTAATCCTTCCCCGTTCTATTAGAAAAAAAGTTTTTACCATGAAATGTGCTTACTCGTGGCTATATGGGTTTGGGAAATGTATTCTATTTTCATATTCAACATAAATGCAGAATTGCTAACACAAAGCACTTTCAATCCTTAAAATTCAGGCATGCAGCAAAAAGTAATGTAGTCTAAGCTGAGTTTAAAACACCATGATGAAAAAAAAAACTGGTGATTCATAGGAAAATCACAAAGCTGATCTCTCATAATTACTCTCTATTACTCACAGATAGCAAGTATGTATAGCAAGTATGTAGTTGTTCTGGGAAATGACATTCCCTCACCGACAGAATCCAAGTGGAAAGAATTTTCTAACCTTCTCTGAAAAATAACTAGAAATTGTGTACAAAGCTGAACTAACAATACTGTAGACCAGGGGTGTCCAAACCTTTTTCAAAGAGGGCCAGATTGGATGAAGTGAACATGGTGGAGGGCCGAACATTTTTCCGAACATTCTTTGAACCATTACAATTAAATGCAAATAAATTATTTTATGCCAAGTTAATTGCAAACGACATACTTTTCGTTTCATAACATTAAGATCAACTGACAGCTGAGTTTTCACAATGTATTAAAAATAAATTTAAAAAAACTTACCTGCACTAATGTGAAGGGTGAAAAGGGTAGCTGGAGCTGAAGTCTCTGCTCGGCAGCCGGGAGGGGAAGAGAAAACACACACTTCACGCTGGAAGCCCGGTCCTGACGTCACCGCCCTCTGTTGCTCCCAGCGTGGCGCAGTCACGCATGCGCACTGCTCTCAAGCAGAAGACTGTCTGCCACAGAAGGGAGGGCCGTGCGACAGCCGCATTTACACAGACCAGGGAGAACGCGCCGCAGTCAGGCATGCGCACTGCCCTCTGCAGTAGAAGACTGTCTGCCATAGAAGGGAGGGCCATGGGAGGGCCACATTACACAGAGCAGGGGGGGCTGTTGGAGGGCCGTATTAAACCGACCCCCGGGCCGTAAATGGCCCGCGGGCCGGACTTTGGACATGCCTGCTGTAGACAGTCCTAGAACACAGCACTTCTGCAAAAGTACAACCGCAGAAAAAATGCTGTACTACCCAAAATTAAATAAATAAATTACTGTGCAAAAAATCCTTCAAATAATCTACATATCAATAGGTATTTAAACATATGCCTCATAATGTCTTCCCAGTAAATTGCTAAGTTATAAAAACTTACTCCATAAAAAACTTTAAACCAATATATAAACTTCTGTCATCAATAATGAATGTCCCAATGTTCACTTCTTGAACTTTAATTCACCATGTGATGACTTAAAAGATACAGTATATGGATTATGCTGATAGATCATCCACCACCTTTTCATTCACCAACTGGCCAGTGAGTCCCACCACCGTTCATACAATTCTCTCACCTTCAAGCATTGATCCTTTCTTTCTTTCTTTCTTTTTTTTTTTCTTTCTTTCTTTCTTTCTTTCTTGCTTTCTTTCTTTCTTTCTTTCTTTCTTTCTTTCTTTCTTTCTTTCTTTCTCTCTTTCTTTCTTTCTTTCTTTCTTTCTTTCTTTCTTTCTTTCTCTCTCTCTTTCTCTCTCTCTTTCTTTCTCCCACTCTCCTTGCACAATAGGCTATGGTACGGTGGATTTTGTCACTTCAGTTGCCTACAATATGTCTGCATCATACACTTTGCTAATTCTAGGTGTATGTCTCTGTAAGATATCAGGGTTCCCCATCGGCACTCTGTAATTCAACTCAAAGTACATGGGAGCTTCCCTTAGTGCAATATATTAAAAGCAATATTTATTAATGTAATTGCACTTGCAGTTTAAATGATATGAAGCGCATAAATGCACAAAAAGTCCTGTCGGCAATGGGATAGCGGCTCTCGCCCACACTTCCAGTAGCAGCAAAACCATGCGTCTGTTCATTTCTGATAACCATAAACATCTACAGATTATCACATCCCTCTGGAGGGGGATTGGGATTGACCCATTAAAAAATAGTCACAAAATTCTTCAGTTCTTTTCCGCCATCACTGTAGGGAAATCAAACCTATTAGGAATACTCAGCATGCAGTAAAATGTCTTACACAGGGCTAATGGGTATCGTACAGCCAGTCAGGCTTGAGATGACCTTTCCAAGACCCCTGCCTAACTCACAGTTTTAAAAAATAATACACACAATTCATAAAATCAGACAGGACCAAAACACATTGATATTAAGTATATGAATGGAGAAGATCATACCGAACAAATCAAGATCATACATGACTTAGCTGGAAACTAGGCCCTTTCCTACCTCCTGGGTGACAGACCTATTTAAGGGTAGGTGCAAAATTCCAACACACACGTTCCTGCATTGGACAATGGCTGTATGTATAATGGGTGCTATAGCGACCAACGGCTGGAACCGTGATACATCAAGGAATAGAAATATTGCTAGCACACCGTTTTCTCCAATATGGATCCAAAGCTTTTAATGTGTAATTACATAGTTACAAGAAAAGCAACGTTTATGAGTCTTGCAGGACCCCTTCATCAGGAATGTGACTACATATCACATAACTGATGAAGCGTCCTGAGAGACTCCAAAACCCATATTGGAGAAACCCAATGTGCTGGCAATATTTATATTCCTAGGCCGATCCGAGGGACCCCATGTTTATTATCTCTGGACACAAAATTCAGTGCTGGACAAAAATCTACCAGTTTGCAGAATGCAACCTGCACATATTTAACCATTAGCCTACAGGACACTTATACCCCCTTCCTGCCTAGGCCAATTTCCAGATTTCAGCGCTGTCACACTTTGAATGACAATTGCACGGTCATGCAGCACTGTACCCATATGAAATTTTTATCATTTTTTTGAGACAGATAGAGCCTCTGGGATTTTTATTTTTTCTTAAACAAACCAAAAGCCACTGAAAATTATGAAAAAAAAAAGTTTTTTCTTAGTTTTTGTTATACAATTTTGTAAATATGTGATTTTTCTCCTTCACTGATGTGCACTAATGAGGCTGCAGTGATGGGCACTGATAGGCTGCACTGATGGACACTGATAGGTGGCACTGATGGACACTGATAGGTGGCACTGATGGGCACTGATGAGGAGGCACTGGTAGGTTGCACTGATGGGCATTGACAGGCATCACTGATGGGCACTGAAAGGCAGCACTGATACATGACACTGATACATGACACTGATATATGGCACTGATAGGCAGCACTGACTGGCACTGATTGGCAGCAATGATAGGTGGCACTGATTGGCATTGATAGGTAGCAGTGACTGGCACTGATGGGTGACATTGAAAGGCAGCTCAGATGGGCACTGATATGTGGCATTGATGTGCATTGGTATGCACTGATAAGTGGCATTGATGTGGCACTGGCACGTGGCACTGATGGGCTCTGGCACGTGGCACTGATGAGCACTGACAGGTGGCACTTCTGGGGCCACGCTGATCATCAGGGCACACTGATCATCAGTGCCCTGATGATCAGTGTACATGTCCCCTCCACGGAAAGCCAATTACCGACTCTCCTCTCCTCTCAAGCTGTCAGCGTGACAGCTCGAGAGGAGTGAAATGCCAATAACCGGCATTTCCGTGTTTACATGTGATCAGCTGTGATTGGACACAGCTGATCACATGACCGAGCCGACATCTTCGGCTCTTTCCGTGATCCGCTGTGTCCGAGGGACACAGCGCACCGGCGATCGCCGCGCTGCACGCTCCCTGAGCTGCGCATGCGCAGTGAGAAATGGTAGGACGTCATATGACGTCCTATCAGAACGAGAGAACCACCTTGCGCCCGTCATTGTACTATACGGCGGGCGCAAGGTGGTTAAAGATATTAATCACTTCCCAGCCGCCCTATAGTAGAAATACTGCTACAGGGCGGCAGGTGTGATTTTGCATTTCTGGGTAGGGGGCACACAAGAGCCACACGTGCACCCTACCTACACCGCTGTTCGCAGTCGCGACTGTCAATCACTTGGTCCTGGACGGCAATTACCTGCCGGCACCTGATGATTACCAAGGATCTTCGATGGGAGGAGTGCTGCTTTGTTTACTAACAGTCCTGCTCCCTGTTGGCTCGGACATACTGCTCTGGATGGCACAGCACAGACATCTGGAGCAGTATGCTTACAGTGAAGCACCAACACACCATCCCCTAGTAAGACACTCCCAGCACCCAGTTAACCCTTTGATCGCCCCTCATGTTAACCCCTTCCTGCCTAGTGTCTTTTTTTTAGCACTGATCACTGTATTGGTGTCACTGGGGATGTCAGTGACACTAAGTCAGTTCCCCCCAGTGTCAGAATGCCCGCTGTAGTCCCGCAGTCCCGCTATAAGTCACTGATCGCCGCCATTACTAGTAGAAAAAAAAATCCCAGTGTATATACCGCCAATTGTAAATGCTATAACTTCCACATAAACTATTTAATTTACACGCATTGGGATTTTTTTTTCAGCAAAGACATTTTGGCCTCAATTTATGACGAAATGTGATTTTTAAAATTTTTTTTACTGGATGTTTAATAGCAAAAAGTCAAAAATATAATTTTTTTTCTCAAAATTGTCACTTTTTTTTATAGCGAAAAAAATAAAAAACGCACAGGTAATCAAATACCACCGAAAGAAAGCTTAGTTTGTTGGAAAAAAGGATGTAAATTTAATTTAGGTGCAGCGTTGCATGACCACACAATTGTCAGTTAAAGTAACGCAGAGCCGTAATGCAAAAAATGGCCTGGTCAGGAAGGGGGTAAATCCTTTCGCGGGCAAGTGGTTAATATCAGTATAAAACCATAAGCAACCGTTTACAGACGTAAACCCAGTGACATCCCATAGCCCCTCAGCCGCTTAATTGGTCAGACCATTTCTGTTAATACCCCGCCTAACCAACATGAAAAGAGGGCTGCCTTTGCAATTGTCAGCTCTCATGTACCATCAAACGAAGTAAGATCGGCCAAGTTTGTGAGAGATACTTTTCCACGTTGCTCATTGAGTGAACTTTTCTGAAACCAACCAAGAATTGATTAGTTTTTTTGAACAAATGGTGTAAAATGATCTTCAAAATAATTTTTTCAGCTCATTTCCTACAGGTGTTAGCAGCTACTTCATCCCTTGCGAGGATATTTGGCAGCGCAGGAGTCCACCCCCATTTAAGATGACTTGATTAGTATTTTCATTTTTCAACCCTTTTGTTTTGCTGTGGAATTGTTGTCTCTTAGCTTCTTTGTAATGCCTTTTTTTGTACCGTAAATATTTTATTTGCACCATTTTTACCTATTCAGTTTATTATTTCTCTATAAAAGTAGTTGGTGGCAGTTTAAAGAGTTCATTGCTTAGTTAACTAAGCCCAATGACAATCTTTCTCAGACTGTTGGCACCTAGATTGTGGTCCAGGAAGCTGGAAAATCTTTGTGCAGGGTGAGGCTGAGAGTGGCATTGTTGCATATCAGTGACAGCCCTGTTGTGCGGTTGACGAGTCAGTTGTCACTAGTTGGTGAATAGGCGGTCTGACCCACTTTGTCACACATGCCTTTCTTCTGGTTTCCTTAGATATACTTTGTGTAGAAGTCACTGTACATAGGGTTATTAATTTCGGGTAGTGGATTAGTGCCTACCAAGCATTTCTTTGAACCTATTAGTCACTTGTTTATGTATTCTATTGTAGTATATGGCTTTTCTGCAATCTACATTTATGGAGAATACTGTAATTACCACATACAGATGACAAAAAACTCTGCTCTAAAGAAATTGGCACTACTTGAGAGTGATTTCTGGAAAATCTGATTCCTCAAGGCCTTTTTCTTGATTTGATACATCAAGTCCCTGATTCAATAAATATATAACAGCTGTTTTTTTTTACAATGGCTATGCTTCTGATTAGCTTAGATCAAGGTTAAAGTGGAGTTCTGGTCTCAAAAAAAAATTAAGAGTCAGCAGCTACAAATACTGCATCTGCTGACTTTTAATATAAGGACACTTACATGACCAGGTGTCCGGCAATGTCCACACCTGAGATGATTTCCTTAATCGGCTTTGGGTGAAGGCACCGCCATCTTAACTAAAGGGAAACTGGCAGTGAAGCCTTCTGGCTTCACAGCCAGTTTCCTTCTGCGCATGTGCAAGTGGCATTGCACTTTGTGATTGGTCCCACAGTCTTCTGGGACCTGTGATGTGTCCCAGAAGGCTGGGACAGGCGGGGCTGGAGATCACTGTGGCAATTAGCCAGAAGTGGGAGATGGTACCTGTCAAAGCCAGATACCCGCTCCCCCATCCCCTCGAAAAAGTGCCAAATGTGGCAGTGGAGGGGGGAGGATGCCAGCAAGTGGAACTTCCCCTTTTAAATGGAGTTCTGCTTTAAGGTTAAGCTTAGGTTAAGAAATAATCTCATCAAATCGTCTTATGGCAAGAAAAGAGTTTTCAGAGAAGAAAGACATTTATTGAATTCTATACTGCTAGGATAGATACAGATGATACAGAAAAAAGAAGCAAGTTCTATGAGTAGCTGCACTGTAATCTAATGCAGAATAAGACAAAGGAACCTTAGATTGAGATTCAAAGTGGCAGTGATTGTGAATAGAGCTACAAGTAGACCTGACACATAGGCCATCACTGCCAAACTCTCTCCTGTGGTTAACCTCTCAACCCATCAACAGAGAAAAAGTGAACGAAATGTGCTCTCTAAACGACTTAGCTTCTGCCTGACCAAACAACTTGATGAAACAGAGTTCTGCACTGACATTAAAGAATTCTTCTGTGGATTATGGTTAACAGATTTTTTCCATGACAGAATGAATATCATATCAAATGAAATCACTGAAACACAGCTTCCAAAAAAGAAAAAAACAGTAAATGGGCCTCATAACAAGGAACTGAACCAATGCATAGATTTCCTTACAAAGAGAATCAAATAAAATATACTGAACAAACAAAAACAAAAAAGAAGTGGTATAGAAAGAAAGGGCTATGCAAAACTTCTAAAATAACATAATTGCCAAACCCACAGACAGTGGAAGTGCAATGGTAATTATGAATACATCTGATATATTCAAAGACACACAGACAGCTTTTCAACACAACCTATTGTAATAAACTGGATACAAAACCCAACATAACAATACACAAAAGAAACGAGGAAGCTGCCTAATGAGCTCTGTTCAAAACAATCACATCTGCTGTATCTCAAACCAAATAATCCTAAAATGGACATGGTTAACATGTTACCTGGTATACAAGAGAGAGGAAACCCAGTGTGGCCTATCATCTCTAGTGTGAGAAGACTAATAGAGGAAATATCCAGCCGGGTAAATAGTATCCTAAGCTCTTGGTAAGAAACAAAGCCAGCTATATTGAAGACACAACTGATCACCAAATACTATCACACATAAATCGACTTGAGATCAATATCACAATGTGGATATACAGAATTACCTTACTATAGACACCACTTCAAGTCTCTCTGTCTTGAATTGATACCCTAATTTTTGCCGCAGTATGGGAGTGAGTGCAGTGGGAACTGGTTAGTGCCCTTTGCCAGCAGAGAGAGAAATCCTTTCCACTATCCACTCATGCAATAGACCAGGGGTCTCCAAACTTTCTAACAAAGGGCCAGTTTACTATCCTTCAGACTTTAGGGGGGCTGGACACCATCATTGGTGTCAGTGTGAGGAATAGTTTCCCATTGCTGATGTCATTGGCAGGAATTATGCCCCATTGTTGGTGTCAGTGGGCAGCATGATGTCTCATTTCGGTGGGATGAATAGTGACCCAAAGGCCGGATAAAGGCAAGCAAAGGGTCATATCTGGCCCCCAGGCCACAGTTTGGAGACCACTGCAATAGACCAAAAAACTCAGTCAACATTGCAGCCTCTTTAGGGAATATTATGCCAAACTCTATGATCTACTATTCATCATGTCTTGGATCGGGTCAGAGACTACCTTATGAAATGAGGCCTACCCACCCAAAAAAATACTCAGAGTTCCCAACTGGCAGAAAACCCATTGGCCCATTGTAATTTCTTCTAGCCCTTAAATCCTCTAACACTGAAAAGATCCCTGGTCCAGATGGGTTTCCTTCAACTTATTACAAATCATTTCAATCCCTCTTATCCTCACAGACTGCACCCCTATCTCCAGGAAAAAATTTACTGGGACCAGGTGGGGTTTATGTTCACTTGAGAAGCCTGGGATGGAACTATCCAGGCGATAAATATAATCTAGTCAGCCCTGTTGAAGGTGGAACAATATTTAATACCCTCCACAAATGCTGAGAAGGCCTTTGATGGTTTTGACTGGACCTTCATTCACCTATCTTTGGGAGCAATTGGACTCAAAACCCACAAGCAGATCTGGATTCATTCTCTCTAAACATCTCCCTCAGCACAGGTCAGGGTCAATGTTATCTTTCAATGCCCTTTTCTACCAGGAGTGGTACTCACCAGGGCAGCCCATTCTCGCCATTGATTTTCATTTTGACACTGGAATCCTTCTTGTCATATATGAGCTAACCTATCTCCGAGATACAAGTTGGGAAATGTACATATAAAGTCTCTGCGTATATAGATAACCTGCCTTTTTTGAATAACCATGAGATCACCCTCCCTAACTTGACTGCAGAGTTTACCACATAGGATGAGTTCCACACTTCAACATTAATTACTAGTTATCAAAAGCTTTGGACCTGATCCTTCCTTAAACAACATTACT